TGTTTTTATTTTCACTAATCTTAATTCCTTATGGGTACATTCACATATAGGTTGATTACTAACTTCACTGATTTACATTTTTAGTGTTCTTTGACACTCATTTGTCTATCTTTTTATATTATTTTACTTACAGTTGATTAAGTTTTGAAACTTTATGATTGACATTGTTAATTTACCAGTAATGGGCTACAACCATTTTTTGCCGTTATTTCGATAAAATTTTTGCTTAGTAGTGTGATTCTATTTCTCCCATACATATAGTACTGGGTTTTGTTACTTTATTCTTTTTACACCACTTTTTCCAGTACACGTAGTGTATTGCATTCATTTCTTCACTTGAACTCTGTTCACATAATTTGCTTCACATAGTACATACAGGTACACATATTGACAGGTTTCTTTTTCTTTATTGATTTGCATCAGGCGCCATCTTGTTGTGTCTACATTGAAGTGCCCTGTGTTGTGCTTTCTCTCCTCTGCTGAGTTTCATCGATGATCCTCGATTCCTGGGGTTGGCCTATGATTTGTCTTTGGATTCTACTGCTGCTTGGTGTTCCGGCTCGTTGGACCTGGGCGTCTGTGGGTTCCGGTTTTGGCTGCTGGGATGCTTCGCTCGCTGGGATCTGACCTGTTGCTGCTCGTTTTCCTGCCACTTTGGATTACGCTAAGTGCAATTACAAAGATCAAAATACTTTGGAATTATTCTACCCATGGATATACAAAGCGCTACTACTTCTGCTTCAAATTATTCCCTCCACGTGGATATATTAATGATCGGCTGATGAATTGTGTGCTTTTAAGGGAAATTAAACTCTGCCTGGGATATTATACATTGATATCTCGAGGGGGTCCTTCAGGACTCTAGTTGTTCAATGCCAGGTGGTCTCTGATTGGACCACCGTGCCCTTGAAAAGGGGGGTCTGTAGCATCATGAAGGGACTGTTTTCCTTTCTCCTGAGGAAGAACTGATCTTCTTCATATATATATGCTCAAGGCCTTTTGATGTCTTTGCATCTAAACTGTTTTAACTAGCTATTTGCCTCCCCCTACAGCTCAAAAGAAAGATCAGAACTCTTTTGTATTAAATAATGGCCAAATACCTGTGTTAGTCCAAATAATCAAGTAAAGCTCAATGTTAAATCAATCTGTGAAATGAGAATATTAATTACTTGATATTATAATCCTATGATAGTATTTTAATAAGTAATATAACTTTTAAACTACACACTAGACTGATCACACGTAATGTTAAATCACATGACACATTTCTTTGTCTCTCCGATCAGAGCTTTCCTTTCTGATGCGTGGCATGATATGTGCAGTGTTTATATTTGTGTCCAATTTTGATTCGACCATAATCAAAACATCTGAATTATAAAACTAACTCCCACGTCACCCTTAACTCAGTTCAAATGTTCTAGAGTTGCGAGCCAGCCACTCGTAACGTTTCAACCACAAAGAACCTCGACAAGCTGGATAATAAAACCTGTTGCAAGCTCCTCCTGACACAACGCTCCTTCAGAGTAAAAGCTGAACTCACTGACCCTTCAGAGTCCCGCTGACGCTGTCAACCAACTGCCGCTGTCAACCAACTGCCGCTTACCTGGAAACATTCCAAGACTAGTCTGTCATACCGTACGCTATTTCACCGGCTTTGGTACCAAAAGGGGGTTCGAGAACCTGGCATTCAGGATCTGCAACGGAGGTCTCCACAAGGGTATGTAGTCTTGAAGCTAAAGCTGAAATAATGGTCAAAGGAGGAGACGGCAGCACTCAGGAGGACATTTTTTATCCCTCAAAGAAGACAAAGTGGGAAATATGGGCATTTTTTTTTTTTGATATTTGAAGAATGCCGAGGGACAGTTGATAGAAGACGACTATCCTGTTTGCAGCACATGCAGAAAAAGTGTTTGTGAAAGGCAGCAACGCTTCAAATCTCATGACACATCTAAGTGACCATCACCCACAACTCTACAGTCAACGCAAGGCAAGTTAGCTTTAGCGTTTTAGCTAAAATGCGTGATCCGAGGATTTGGGTTGAGGGAGAATGCAACGAGTCGCTATATGAAGCAGCCGCAGCGCCACTACCTGCATATAAACCGTGTCGTGGACACCCCCATGTTGAAATGACGCTATGCATTATGGGGCTCCCAGGGGCAGATAAGAGTTGGTCTCTCTCCGAGACTAATTATGAATTTAACAATGATTACTGCCTGATGACATTTTCCCACATCTGCAAAGCTCACTGGAAGGACACAAACCGAGGACGATATTTTCCTGATATAGGGTTTATTACTCAAGTAAGGGTAAAAAAAAGTATCTGATTAGAAGGCGACTTGAGTACTGAGTATCATCTGATCTAATATTTTTAAAATGATGACATTAAACAGACAAAAAATAAGAAGTTATGGGCAAATATTGGTATTTTAAAGACTAAAAGGGAAAAATGTAAACAAATAAACATAATTACTAAATAACAAATTTTAGGCAAAATTTAGACACAAACTGAGGACAAAATTTAACTCATATACAGGGTTTATTTAGTTGTCTGAAAATGTAACACTTTAAAAAAATACCGCGTTAATACCGAAAACCGTGCTAATTTTGGTCACAATAACTGTGAGGTTAAATTTTAACACCGTGACAACCCTAATATATAAATATATATATTTTTATATATATAGTAATAATGACTGATATGACAATGTATATCGTGTTAGGAGTATTTTCTATATTGCCAAGCCCTACAAGCAAGAAAAAATTTGTATATCACTGTTATGACCCACCCCTAGTTGCTAAATATGGGATTTAAATAATCAAACATATTTTATTGTTAAAGATTAGAAATATATTCAAAATAAAAAGTGTAAATACCGTAAATCCTCTAATACAGGCCGGTATTCAATTAAAGGCCGGGTCTCCAATTTTGGCCGGTGTCGGAGTCAGCGGAGGTAAATAATGGCCAGTCTCTTATTGTGGCCGGATGGAATGTGGTAACAAGCAAGTACGAGAGTCCCAGCGGCAGGGTTATAGTCCCCAAATCAACCAGCAGGAGGCAGTAGGGGTTCGCGCAGACCTTTATTAGGCTTTTTCTTCAAGCTTTGTAACGCTTCAGACACGATCCTCTATCACGCTCCTACCACACAGAGTCACGGTGTCAGTTAACCATGCTAATTCAACCCGCTCCACAGAACACACATCACCTTCCCTGTGGCTTACATAACACTCGCACAACACGCAAATCAGCACATAGGAACCAGCAGAACGATAGGAAACACATATAACACAATACCCAGAATGCACCTGGCTTACAACCCCAGCCAGGTCATTACACTATCAAGTTCAAAGAGAACGTGCTGATTATGCTGCAGAACACTCTGGAGAGCAGCAGTAGGGGGTGTATGAACTACAGTAATCCCTCGTTTATCGCAGTAGATGCGTTCCAGACCTGGCCGCGATAGGTGAAAATCCGCGAAGTAGGGACTCCCAGCATGCCCCTCGCGGGGATTCCCTCCACGTCGCACCTACGTCACAAACCGCGGCTATAAACGGAAGTCGCCTTTACAGCTCAGTCATCGTTTCTTCAGATTCACGATCAGAGTTTCCAACCTACCGATCAATCCAACGAACTATCAGCTCATAGTAGGTTATCTTACTTACTTCTGGAAAGCCCGGCATTTCCGTGTCACTTCGTTGACGCTCGAACGCTCGGGGGTTTCCTAGAGCAGCCGGCGTTTCACCGACGCTATCACTTCCGCGTCTGTGAAACCACGCTCCCGTAGGTACTGACACGCGATCGTTCATGTCGGTTAATTTCGTTTAATGTTTTCTGTCTTTTATTTGCGCCTGATGTGTATCGCTGCTGTGGAGCGGGGCGCATCAACTTGTCCTCCGACGCACAGATCACTGATGCGGCCAGCAAGCAGGGAGCGCTCAGCTGTTTTCGCGGTCGGTAGATCTGCCTCCTGAGCACGGCCACAGTAACAATCAGGTGTCGCCACCTCAAAAACTAATTTAACACGCGATCGTTCATGTCAGTTCATTTCCTTTAATGTTTTCTGTCTTTTATTTGCGCCTGATGCGTTTCGCTGCATGCTGTGGAGCGGGGCGCTGCGGGCATCACCTTGTTCTCCGACGCACTGATCACTGATATGGCCGCCAAACAGCAAGCGCTCCGCTGTTTTTGCGGTCGGTAGATCTTTTAGAACTGCAGTTCAAAGGTAACTCATAAGGTGAATATATATGAACCCAGGCAGCAGCTTTTCTTTAGGATTGAGAGGAGATGCAGGAAGATAATAAACAGACAGGACAGAAAAATAGTCAAATAAAAACAAGTTAGTTTTTGTACCTGGTGGTTGCAACAAACAGACACCACTGAAGGTAATCAGAAGTGAGGAACAGAAAATGAAATAATTATTTTAATGTTTAGAGCAGCAGGAACTCTGAGAGGCTGCAGGCGCATCAGTGAGTTTGCGGCTGCTGTGCAGGGGGAGGGGGGAGAGGGTTGAAGCAGAAACTACCGTTGTTAAAAGAAATGTGTTTAACTTTGAAAATGTGGGTGCAATTTTAATTGTCAAAAACTCCAGCAAACCATTAGTTCATTTTGCTCAAATAGAAATAGAGGCCTGCCTCTAATACTGGCCCTCCTTCCAATAAAGGCCTGGATCTTGATGAGCTTGAGTCAAATAGGCCTGTATTAGAGGATTTACGGTACTTCAGTGGATGAAAATTTTCAAGTTGTATATCGCATACCTGACTTCAGCTAAAATATATTAAAAAGTTTTGGTCGATATCGCTCAGCCCTGAAAAATAATTTTAGAAGTTTTCTGTATTTTTGTGTGAACATTTATAGAATTGAAAAATAAAAGACTATTTGGAGAAAACTGCATTTTCATGTGGACAAAGCTTAAGTCAGACTTGAGTCATTCTCACTTTGGGTGGCATAAAAAGTACAATCAAGTCTGTTATGAGCTGAAGTATCAGAGCATCAAAAGACTCACTGATGAAAGGGAATGAAATGCTGTTTGTCCTCATCATCGATTTTGCCGTGGGCGATATCTGTGATGTCCATAGCTGCAATAATGAATACAGTGGAATTAAGACAGCTCTGATTTCCAAATTCTAAATGAAAATTAGGATTTTCTTCTTTTTACTGGCTCAAAATTCTAAATCTCTCTAGAAATGAGATTTTCTAACTTTTACTAAAGGAACTTAGGCAAGACTCCACTACTGCAACAACCAGCATATTTTCACAGACTGAAGGTTCTTGATCTCCAGCTAATAAACTCCACAATGTTCTTTTGCCAGAATGAGTGTGCATGTCTGTGCGTGTGTGTGTTTCTCCTGGCTAAGAATAATGTGACTTCAGCATTGTTTCAGACTCTGGTTTTAGTGTATTGGCACTAGGGGAAACCATTTTTCATTTTCCCCACAAATCTGCCAAAATCAAAACGACTGCTTCTTAATCAATTTCCACAAACTCCTTCTGCCAAGGAAGACAGAGGAAATTTTCTGGGTTGGGAAGCAGGTGTTCCTAGTTTGTTTGACACATGGATCCTTCATTTTAGCACCTGAACAAAATGAATGGTGCCACCACAGAAGGGCTTTTGTTGGAATTAGTTTGTATTTTGCTACATAAATGTTGGGACATCTGAGAAGCTGCTCACCAGCCACACCAAAAGGTCTCCTCAACCCAAAGGTTTGTTTCTTGCCCTCTTTCAGCTCCATGCTACCCACTCGGATGATCTGACACACCAGGTAAAGCCGCTGCCTCATCAAGTCACTGCTGCTCAAGTCCTGGATATAGAAAACAAAGATTAGTTGAAATGACATGAGACATTAGACACAAAAGGCAGTGACCTTTTTCTGTCATCAGCAGTTTATTATCATTCACAAGGCAACAGATGCAGTGCAGACAGCAAATATTAGGATAAAAGCAGCTGCGAGTGTCAAAAAACATCACAATTATGTTTTTTTATTCTGTGTTTGGTTATAAAAACAAAATATCTGCCACAGGAAAAAATCACTAATTGTTTTTGAGTTGTTTGGGAGATGGCTGATTTTTAAAACAAATGGCATAATGACGGAAAATCCATTCAGTGATGTGCCATGAAAGGGAAACATTCAGTGAAAATTTTAGTAAATAAGAGGCAATTTTCTTCATAATAAGAGATTACACGCAGTGCTTGTGAAAGCTAGAACAGAATGAGTACAATTTAGCAAATCAGGATCCTGTTACCGTGAACAAGGCTGGCAGGTTGTTGAGTTTTTCAATTTCCTTAGGCATTCCCATACTGTCCCAACGCACCAGGAAGTTCTCACTGTTCAAACAGGAGACAGACATCAAGAGAAATATAAAAGCTGGGGTAAATCAAGTAAATGCTGCATCATTTTTGTTCCTTTCAGAGAATCAGTGTAAAAATGAGCCTGGTGTGATTGTATATTGCGATTAGGGCTGACACACTACTGAAAATCAAATCACAAGCATTGCTGCAGTGAGCTTTAACATTGATCTCGGGGATTGTTAAGTTAGAAACTTGACCAGTTTCCTATCTGACACCACTCTGCAGCCCTTTGCTGACCAAAAACCACACTTAGTAGTTTTCTGGAGCAGGTAGGTGCTCAATGTGGAGAGATCTTTACCTGCTGTACACTCGCAAAACCGTTAAGTGCGGTTTTGCGCATTTAGCAACAGAAAACCACTGGTATGAAAGCTTCTCCACTCAGTAACATCAGAGAAGGAGAAACAGCTGGCTGCTACCACTTGTACTTTAGGACAAACTACCAGGGTTCCAAAAAGTAAAACACCATTTGAATTTGCAGAAAAAACACAAAAGTTTTGGACCTGGGAAAACGGCGCCTAATGTTTTGCGCTGTGGCAATTCGCATTCCCATATCAGGAGAACGTGGACGGGGGTGGGGGTGGGGGTGGGGGCTGTGCTTTTAAAGCTAATTTTGTTTTGCAGTTTAAAGCACTAATGCAAAACCTCGAGTTCTTATAAACTAATAATCACATGGCCAGTTCTTTATAAGTAGAGGTTTATATAACTGGCTTTTTATGTGAGGTTCTAGCAGGGGTCGCATTAACTAAATCAATTGTGAACAGATTCCCATCAGAGCATCATCTCACACTTTGACATCATTCTCAATGCATTTCACTGTTGAATGCACCTGTGCAAGTGGAAGCACGCTGAAATGCTGTGGACAGGAGCTCAGACTGCATCTTTGAGCTTGGCTCACAGACCATTCCAGCAGAACCACAACAGCGCTTGTAGGAAGATTTCCTCCCATTGAGGCGAGTGATTTCCAGCTCTGGAAACCCATCTTTCAGAGAGTCTTGTAGACTTCAGGTAATTTAATTTGGAGAAATGTTCCCCGATTTTTAAAACCATGGCAGAAGTAGAGCTTGTTATTCCCATCTGAAGTGGGACAAATTCATCCAGAACAACACGAGTCTGTCTGAGGCAAAAGTCCAGAACCTCATGACTACAGCCTCTTCAGCAAGCCCCCTAGAGCGTTTGATTATGCACAAACAGGTGCACAACTTAGGTTTACACAGAGCAGAAGGAATGTGTGTGAGACTTATCGTTCGGGGCACAGCAGGTGAAATGGTCCTACTTTAGATTAAATTATTGAATTGTAAAGTTAATTTGATGCTGGGGCACTCTGGTCAGCTTGTTTGGACAAAATATGGATTAAAAATGAAAGAAAATTAAATGATGAATATTTATTTTAAAAATGAAGGTGATGGGGAAAAAATAATGATTAGGGGCGTAAGAAAATATCAATATGGCAATATATCGTGATTTTTTTTCACTGCGATATTATATCCATATTCAAAAGCAGTGTATCGAACTTTTTGAAGGATTTACATGCAAACATTTGTGTATTTTCTTTTCTTTTGGTGCAATTCAAACGCCAACTGCTAGTTGGCAGTAGGGTTGTCACGGTGTGAAAATTTTACCTCACGGTTATTGTGACCAAAATTATCACGGTTTTTGGTAAAATCGCGGTATTTTTTAAACGTGTTACATTTTCAGACAACTAAATAAACCCTGTATATCAGGAAAATATTGTCCTCAGTTTGTGTCTAAATTTTGCCTAAAATGTGTTATTTTGTAATTATGTTGTTTATTTGTTTATATTTTTCCCCTTTAGTCTTTAAAATACCAATATTTGCCCATAACTTCTTATTTTTTGTCTGTTTGGTGTCATCATTTTAAACATATTAGATCAGATGATACTCAGTACTCAAGTAACCTTCTAATCAGATACTTTTTTTTACCCTTACTTGAGTAATAAACCCTATATCAGGAAAATATTGTCCTCGGTTTGTGTCCTTCCAGCGAGCTTTGCAGATCTGGGAAAATGTCATCAGGCAGTAATAATTGTTAAATTCATAATGATTCTCAGAGAGAGACCAACTCTTATCTGCCCCTGGGAGCCCCATAATGCATAGCATCATTTCAACATGGGGGTGTCCGCGACACGGTTTATATGCAGGTAGCGGCGCTGCAGCTGCTTTATATAGCGACTCGTTGCATTCTCCCTCAACCCAAACCCTCGGATCACGCATTTTTGCTAAAACGCTAACGTTAACTTGCCTTGCGTTGACTATAGAGTTGTGGGTGATGGTCACGCAGATGTGTCATGAGATTTGAAGCGTTGCTGCCTTTTCACAGACACTTTTTCTGCACGTGCTGCAAACAGGATAGCCGTCTTCTATCAACTGTCCCTCGGCATTCTTCAAATATCCCAAAAATGCCCGTACTTCCCACTTTGTTTTCTTGGAGGGATAATAAATGTCCTGTGCGCTGTCATCTCCTCCTTTGGCCATTATTTCAGCTTTAGCTTCAAGAAAGTTTTGGTTGTAAACAACAAAGTGCGCATGTGCCGCCGGCAACTTCAGCAGATTATACGGTGGCTGGTAAGGGTCACCGCGCCTACACCGCAGCCACGGTAATCCACTGAGATAGTATAGTTTTTTTTTTAAACAAGATGGTTATTATTATTGTCAACTTTTTTACCGGGGTTTACCGCTACACCGGTTACCACAACCCTAGTTGGCAGCAGTGTGCACTGTTTTTTTTCCACCACTGAAATGTAAATCCCTCTAATATGGTTCAGATACCTCATTTTAAACATGTTAAGTATCAGTTTGGACTGTTTAACGAACTTTTCTACAATAAATTCAGTCAAAAAATAATCGCTAATATTGTCTGCCTGAATGTATCGCAATATATATCGTATCATCTCCCCTGTATCGTGATATGCATCGTATCGCCAAAATTTCACAAATACACATCTCCAATAACAGTAGTTTTTTTTATCCTTTTGGTCAAAATGAAAAACAACAAAAATGTATAGTGCGACCTCTGGGTTGTAGCACAAAGTTTTAGAACAGTTAAGTGTTAATTAAACAGATGTATAGTAAATACCTTACGCAGGGCAACTGCTTCTATTAGGATATATTTTTCTGTTTACAGACCTGATAAACTCTGACTGCTCAGGGTCATACAGAGACATGAGCAGCTCAGCATCTTCTCCAATGTTGCACACAAAGTTTTTCAGGTTCATGAGGAGGCTGTATGTATGCACAGAGCTGAAGAGGGTCTGACGCCTCATTTCTAGGTTTTGAAGCCGCGTCTGCAAGACAAAAGGAAACAAACTGAGGTAAAGAAGAAATTAATCTTGCAACCAAAACATAAATTTTTTTTTTAAATAATTAGCTTCAACACATGAGAATCATGCCTTTTCTTCTTGTATCCTGTCATCAACACTGCGAGAAGCTGTCTCGTGCGCCCGAAACAGAGTGACTGTACTGGTCCGGTCGGGATCCAGCATGTTCCCTGCTTCATCTCGCACCACCAGGTCCAATCCCAGGATCCTGATAAACACAGCAGCAGCATCAGAGAAGGCAATCTCGGAGATGTGACTCAAGCATATGAAATTTTACAGTCATGTTTTTACAATGGAGGGTTTTCATTGCAGTCGGGGTTGCCTACCGGTTTCCATAATCAATCTTCGCTGTGACTTTCTTTTTAAGTTCCACAAGGTCATCTTTGGGCAGTGTTCCTGACACTATCTGAGATCGATATTCGATGAGGCTGTAGGCCATCTGCTGCACACTCCTGAACAGGGTTATCTTGTTCGCCTGTCAGATAAACATGCTTTGTTATAAATTATTGTACCTTCAGAGGAACGCAACAGCAGTGCAACTTCTTAACAAAACTCCATCTAAGCAGTGAGAGGAGTTCAGAACTGAGTGTTCTAGTAACAGAGCGGTAAATAAAGAAAGGTAATCTGCACGTACCACATAGAGCTTCTGCCATATCTGCACCCATTCCCTCAGGGTGGCCCCTATCTCCTGCACTAGGGGTAAATCTGCTGGAATAATTATTTCCTGTTGGCTATGAGTCAGAAGGAGAGAGTAATGAGATATTGGAAAAGTGGCTCATCACTCACAGATCATGTCACATAATCTGGAATGACTCAAGTGTATTTCTATACATTAGAAGTAGCTGGATGGTTGCCTTGCAGTCAGGAATCGCAATACTGATTCTTACTTATAATTATAAGTGTAGTGCTGTGCTATTGGCAAATGACGGGGCAGAGCCGCAACCCAAAAGCAAAGTGGATTATCATCTAAATGAAATGTTTACTGATATGTGATCTCACCCAATTCCCTCAACCGTAGCCTCCTTTAAGTGGATGTAGGAAGCAGGGAATAAGCCCTGGAGAGACAATCAAGAAGCATTAGTACATACATACACATCAGTGTTAGTTATAGCATAATAAAGCTGAGACGATGCCCGTACCTTCTGTGATTTCTTTCTGAGAGTGTAGCCCCTATACCAGCCTGAGGATAGAAATTGATAGGAGTAGGGGCAACGCAGAGAGGATGAGAAAATTGGACAAGACAGAAGGAAGGAAAAGGTGGTGGACACACATACATTAATATGCACATCACATACCAGTTAGCTCATCTTTTTAAAGCTGCTGTGTTTGCATGCTTCAGAGGAAGGAAGGGGATGCGTCACAGCCTGTTGTGTGCTCAAACTCACCTTCCAATCTCTCAAGTATGTGCACCGTGTCCCCCACCTGTAGACACAGCTCCTGCTCACCCCGGGGATCATAATTGTATATTGCTGAGGAGCAAAACAAAGCTGTCTCATTATGTGAGAAGGAGAATATGTTAGCAAAAATAGTTTCAGTTGACAGTGATTGACAAGCTTTGCTCCTTCTTAAGAACCACTGGAGTTAAAAAATAAAATCCCTTCCCAGTCACTTCCTACAAGTCTGCTTGAGAAACGTTCTGCGTGAGAGGTTAGCAGTTTCTCCTGTGAAAATAGAGCTGATTCTGTCTTGTTGTTGCAGGACTTAAAACTTACACCACAGAGGATCTTGAGCTTTGATTTATCCCTCATCTTACTGCTGGTTTCTACAGCAGGCTGAGTGCTGGTGCAGCAAGCCTGTGTGAGTCAGACCTCAGAAGCATTTTACCTGTTTTTAATTGAATCTGATGCCTGGAGGCTGTGTTTAGAGCTCCACTGAAGGTGCTGCGATGGAGCAGGCAGCTGCACTGCTGTAACTTGCTGGGATCTGATCCTCTGTCATCACACACACGTGTGGAATTACATCAATAGTTACAGTTTAGGATCTGTTTCAGCCAAATGGCACACCTGTGCTGTTTCTTCCTTGTGCCACTTCAACCTTCACTTTCAAAGTGACACCTATTTTTGGCTTACTTATTTATGGGCAGAGCCATTTGATGTTAACAAAAGCATACAAACACATATCAAAGAGATGTTGCAAAAGAAGAACATTGGCCAACAGTACTATATCGCAGGTCTTTGTCATGACTTGAGGAAGCTGCAAGAGCACACGGAGCCACTTACTCTGGCAGGGAGATAAAGAAACTATGAGCGGAGCTCTGCCCTGACTTGCATGGTGATAATGCTCGTTACTGGAGGCCAGATTTCACAGCACGCTTCAACTGGCTCAGCTTATAGCACCTCACTGAATACGAAAACTTGACAGATCACTGAATGTGACTTCATGTCCCTCTCCACGACTTTCCTCTCAGAAGAGGGTTTTCATTAAATGCAAGTATGCATTCTAAAATAAACTGATCAAAAATCTCCCTACAGGAACAGTTTTCTACCTAAGACTGTGTTTGATTTACATGTTCTTAAGGGACTATCTATTATGGATGAACAGATTATTCTGTAATAGAACATGCCTGCAACAGGCTAGACCTTACTGTAAGCTAGTTACGAGAAAAGTCTGGTTTCAGCATTCAAATGTTTTATCATTTCCTGAAACATTTAAGTTTGGATCAAATGTACGTTTAGGTCCTAAAAAATACTGGCTGGCTGTGCCTTGCCTAATCTCAGTCAGTGCATTTACATGTGCATCAGAAAAATGAACTTTGCCCTTTGTAGACTGACATTACTATTTTTTTAAATGCATGTAAATGTGCGTGTTAGTCTGGCAGAGGGTGAACTGGTTCTAATCATGCTGAAGCACCCAGATAATGGAGTGGGTACCTGACTTCAGCTACATGTAAACGGCTCAGTCGAGATGATACCGGTAACTTCCAGAAGTGACGAAACCGCAGAAGCGGTCTTCTGATATCATCGCCGCAAAGTAACACGTTTAACACCATCAAACAGTACAATACGTACCAAACAAGCTGCAGCATTGTTGTTGCCATTTCCTTCAGCCATTGTGCATATCCTGTTCTAAATGTTTCTGATTCACTCCCGCCAGCGTGTATGTTCACTATCTGTGTAGCCATAAGCTAACCGGAGGAATGCAAAGGGTGCATGTCACCTCCTACTGTACAGGAGTGAAACACACTTCATTAGAGAGTTTGGTTTTCTAAAGTGCATGTAAACTAGGATAAAGGGTCCCAGTCTATTACTTTAGATGGACTTACATGTGCATGTAAACGCACCGAGTGAGTTAAGTGCTAAACTGGTCCATTCCCTGCAGGCAGCTCTTTGGCATTGCTAAATGTGAATTTCTGTGTGTAATTTTCTGCCAGCTCTACTTTACAGTTCCTCCTTGCTACATTTACCATTCAACCTTTCTCACGTACTTGGGGACTTCAACATACAAGGGTCTGTTGGCTTGCGGTCTGAATTTGTGGTGGCCATTCATCCAGGGTAAAAACAGCAACAGTCAGGAAGAAGACCACAGAAATGGGTCCCATTCAACCAACTAATCAAGTAAAGTTAGGTAAGAAATAATGTGAAGCCATAGTTTTATGATAAAAAACAAAATAATTTAAGAAATTTGATCACAAGAAATGACAGGAAAACACATGAAATCAAAGTTTCTGGAAATATGCAGACCATCTGTATGCTGACGAACAAAATTTTTTGAAATTAAAGTTTTGAACTAGCTAGAAATAAAATAAAATTTGTGCAGTTACTGCTCCCCACTTAATTCACTGTTATTTTTTACCTTATTACATTGATCTTCAGCAGTGTGTGTGTGTGTGCGTGTGTGTGTAATTGTGAAATCTCCTCAGAAGTCATCAAGAAAAGATAAACACATTCTATAAATTAGATTAAAATAATTGCATATTTCTTGCTTTTTCCACTTGTAATGAAAAGAGATGAGTGCCAGAAACGATTCTCTCAAAGACAGACAATCATATGAATCACAAGGACTGGAGAAAAGACATCTGCCTCTAGTCACGCCAGAAGTGACAATGGTCCATTTACCGACTTGACACAGCGCCTGGGCCTGACGACAGCAGGGCAGTGAGCCAGTGGGAGGAGCCCAGAAAAACAAGCTGCGATGCCACACAGTTTAAACAAAAAGACATCACTCTGAGCTTTCGGCAGCACAGCTCGTCTGTAACACTAGTCACACACACACACACACACACACACACACACACACACACACACACACACACACACACACACACACACACGCCCTCAGAAACTTCAAAAACAGTGCTTGTAGCTGCGCCTTTAAATTCGTATAAAGCTTTATTGGCTCAAGTTCAAGTCTGTGTGCATACTAATTTTACATCAAAGTCAGCCTGGTTCACTCTAAATGATTTAGCATAAAGTAGATTACAAGACAATTAAAGAACACCGTGACTGAGCAATTTGAGCAGCAGCTGGCAGTCCATCAAAGTTAACACAGCACAATGAGACTCTATTGTTCTCAGCCTTTACTCAGAGACAAAGAAAAATACGCAATATGGAGTCCATCTTCTAAACTTTATATAAAAAATAAATAATAAATTAAAAATTAAACTTGAGCCAAAAGGCCCAACCAAAATGCTGCTAAATACCTTAGCAAATCCATGTGCATTCAACTATACTCCATCTACATTCCAGCTCATCATCTGCTTAAAACCTTAAGTTAAACTTTTTTGGATGGGGGAGGTAAAGTTGGTAATGAGACGGGCTTAAGTTTGGCTGCAGCGCGTGTCTGATGTACAAAAATTAGAAACGGTAAGTTTTTGTGCAAAGCCGAATGTTCTGATTTATCTGGAAAATAAAAATAATCCTGGTGAAAAGACCAGTTTTGACTAAACCATACGTAAAAGGGAGTTGAAAATTAAATAAAGCTTTGCCTTCAGTGATCAGTTGTTTCATCCTGTGTAAAATGCACATACTTGTGAAGAGTACAATCCATATCAATTCAATGAAACAACATTTCTCCCATTCTCCTGGTTCTAAGCTTCTCCTTCTTCTTCTTGTTTATTGGCGGGTGGCAACCAACTTCTAGGTGCATTTCCGCCACCTTCTGTGTGGGAGTAGGAGTCACAATAGGGAGAAACTGTGCTAATTAAATTCTATTTATTAAATTACTAGTCTTTAAAAATTAAATTAGTAATTTATAAACATCTAATCCTCCAATTAATGGCTGTGTCTCAATTCAGGGTCTGCATCCTACGTCGGCGAGAGGGTGCTCGCTGCAGAACCACAAAGGCGGAGCTGCACCATAAGGTGGAGCTGCACCAGGGTCAGCCCCGCCCATTCACGCAAACTCAGCCTAGCCCACTGACTTCCGTTTTTGTTTTCCAACTTCATCGCAAACTAACCTGACCCACATGAATTATGGCTGTTACTACTTTACAAATGTTAATGCTATGTTCTATGCTCCAATTAAACAAGATAAATATAACTTGCTACATGACAAAGCCTGAATATATCTTGAAATGAAATGATTTCTTTTAGCAGATATCTGCCCACAGCCGCTCTAACAAAAATGTGGTACAACAGCATGAGTGACTATCAAATGTACTCTGGTAGTCCAGTGGTAAGATTGTCGGAATTAAATTTTGCTTTCCCCTCAGCTGATGCTGGTTCGATTCTCGGTGGGGTCGGCATCAATCTTTTAGCCAGCTGAAACATTTAATTTGTTTATATTATAGTTGTAATGTTTATTTTCAGCAAAATATTTATGTCTCTAAAATTTCTTTGAATTTGGTCGTTCCTAAACAGCATTTTAGTTGAAACTCTGCTCACAAATGGACTCACACTGGCTAAATAAACGAATAAATAAATAAATAAATAAACACATTAGTCATTATATTGTAAACGGTATACCAGTAAATTGTTGTAAACATAGTACTGGCAAGTGTAGCTAGAAATTAAGAAAAGGGGTTGTAAACTACCTAACATTTCTGCTACTGGGAGGCGAACCTGCGCAAAACTACATGCAAACCTGCCTCTATAGCCTCTACCCTACCACATCTGATATAAAGTAAGTGGCGTTACATCTAATTGTGCTATCCAGTGTGTCTTTGGAGATAAGATGTATGGTTTATTGGCGGTGTCTCAGTAGAAGTCATTTCAGAAATAATTTGTCAGAAAATTCACAGAATATCCAGATTTGAGAACCAAGACCAGACCCACTTCAGGGGAGGAGACCAAATTGAAGCTGAGATGGGAGAAAAATGCATGAATGAGGCCAAAAATGGCTTTGGCGTGTTTCTTATGAGGAAATGACAATATAACATGATTAAAAGTTCCAAAAGTTAGATTTTTTATTATATGGAACCTTTACAAAAACAGTTCAGTTAACTTCTCACTTCCGTCCTCAATCTTGCATTTTTAGCTATAAAACCCTCTTTGGTTCCAGAATGCTATTAAGTCTGACAACTGGAAGGAAT